TGCAGCTCCGTCGGAGCAGGTGCATTCGGGGTCGCTGGGTCTTCCTGGGGGATCCACTCTTCACTGCTGCAGGGTGTCCTCTTTGTCTCTGGTGACGGCCTTCGCTCTGACGTCCACTTTACCCGACATCGACACAGCCACTTCTGCCTTCTTTATATCGAAGTTCGTGTAATACGTCTTTTCAACCCTTCTTACTTTCGACCTACTTACATTGTTTGATTTGAAGCAAGTTTCTTGTAGATGGCACATGGTTGGGTTATTTTTCTAAAAAATCACTCTGCCAATCTGTTTGTTTTTAGTTTTTGTTTTCTTTTTCCTTCTTTCTTGTGGGTTACTTCAACATTTTTTAGAATTCCATTTTGATTTATCAATAGCATTTTTTAGAGTATCTCTGTGTTACAGTGTGTAGGTTTTTGGCAGTTGCTGTCGGTGCTGGATCGTATATTGCTAACTCATCATGGTCTACGGGTGTCCACACTTACCAGTCTGAGAGATGAGGGCAAGACTTACCTCCCCTCCCCTCCTGCTGCCCCTCCATGCATAAAGTAATGGTTTTGAATATTTCCTCCGTATACATTTAGAACCACATCAAACTGCTGCAAATTTTCCTTTGACCACAAACACGGTTCAGAACACGCAGGAGGAGAAAGTCAACTGTGTCTGCCCATGTTTCTGCTTAGTGTTCTTCCTTCCTTCTTGGTATTTTAAGATTCCGTCTTTGATCACTTTTTTTTCTGCTTAAATAACTTCCACTAGCTGTTCTTTTAGAACAGATCTGCCGGTGGCAAACTCTCAGTTCCCTGCATCTGAGGGTGGCTCGAGGCCGTCCTGGGGACGGCAGGTGCTGGGTGGACAGTGCTTTCAGCCCCAGACACGCATGACCCCCCCCAGCGCCTGGTTTCTCGTGCGAGGTCTGGCGGCATCTGAGCTGCCCCCACGGTGCACGTGAGCTGGGGCTTCTCTCCTCTTTTGTGGGGGTCATCAGCGTTCAGGGGTTTGCCTAGGATGTGTCTTAGTGTGAATTTCTTTGGATTCATCATGTTTGAGACTTTCTCAGCTTCTTGAATCTGTAGGTTTAGGTATTTTGCCATAATCGGGAAGTTTTCCACCATTATTTCTTTGAGGACTTTTCGTCCCATGTCCCTCCTTCTCCTTCCCGGGCTTCGGTGACAGGAATGTCACATATTTTGTTATAGTCCTACAAGTTCCTCAGGCTCTGCTGTTTTTTTGGTCGACTCTCTCTGTGTTTAAATTGTGTAATTTCTGTTGTTCTGTCTTCCGTTTCACCGATTCTCTCCTCTGCCCTCTCTGCTCTGCTATTAATCCCATTCTTCTTTTTTCAGGAAGTCAGTTCTAAAGTTTCCATTTGTTTTTTCTTTTTATCCTGTTTCTTTGCTGAGACACCAGTTTGCATTTGGTTCCGGCATGTCCGTGGTAGCCCACCGGAGCATTTCCATGATGCTGCTTGAACATCCTATCCTGCGGTTTCAGCGTCTGCCTTTTCCGTTCACTTTGAGATCTTCTGGGTCTTAGCACGGTGAGTGCTTTTCGAGTGAAACCAGCGTTTTGACGCTGTCAGACTCCAGATCTGACTTAACCTCCCCTTTTGTCGGCCAGCGGAGGGGCCACCTTGTAACTGCCAGCCGGGGGCGGGGGGCTCCTCACTACTGCTTGGGGGGGGTCCTGGCTGGGGGTGGGGAGCCCCATGGCCTCATGGCTGCCCCTGCCCGGCCCTCCTCCCCCAGCTGGGAGGGGGCTTGTCACCGATAGGGGACTCCAGGCTCCGCGCGGCTCCCCCCGGCAGTGGACAGTGTAGGTGGGGCCACGGTGCGTGCGGGGGTTGGGGGGAGGCCCTGGTCCTGCGCCGGGGGTGAGGGGCAGGAGTGATGCACAGGAGGGGCAGCTCCGGCACACGTGGCCAGCGCCGTCCACAAACCCAGAGCCTGGGCCCTGTGACCCTTGAGCCCCGACAGCGGCGCCCTGGACAGAAGGTGGATGTGGCACCCTCGGGGCCGGGGCAGGGCCGTGGGGGGGCCCAGTTACCTTCTCAGTCACCAGCCGCTCCTCTGCCACCTCGGGAGCCAGGAAGAATGAGTCGTAAGAGCCTACGCGAGAAAAGCCTGCTTAGCTTCCCTCATCCCAGCCGCTGCTGGAACCGGCCCTGGGGGGGCCCCCGACACCCACCGTCGGCAGGGGGCGGCTCGAGGAGCACAGCGCCGTCCTCAGCGACCAGCACGGAGTCCAGACACAGGTAGGCTGCAACAGAGCTGCGGTCAGCAGCGGGCACAGGTGCGGCCCCGCTCTCTGGGCCCATGGAGACTCGGCCGGGCGGGCCAGCCCCGCCGCACGGGCAGCGCCGGCCAACACCAGCACCACGTGGCTGCGCCGCACACCCAGAGCCAGAAACGAAAGGGCTGAACAGAGGAGGGGGAGGAGGGCGTGGGGCTCGGGGTTGTGGCCCGCTGTGCCCTGCAGGTCACGAGTCCGTCCTGAGGAGGCCCGATGGCTGTGGGTGCACAGCGCAGGGACACCAGGCTCAGGTGGCCGCGGACCTCTGACGCCCCAGCCCTCTGGACACTGTCCTCACATCCCCCACCCCAGGCAGGGCGATGCCACCAACGTCCCGCCCACCTGTCCTGCTGTCCAGCAGGTCGGGCTTCAGGGGGACACAGACCAGCGGGGTAAGATTCCCTCCCTGGGGACGGCATCGCCCCATTGAGGACACGTGGCCTCCGTTTCTCTTCACCATGGGCCTGGTCTGAAGGCCAACCTGCAAGCACCTGCCCACCAGCCCTCGGGGCGCCCGGGCAGGTGGGGAGGAGGAGCGTCACCTGGGTGCTCGGGGAGCGTCCGCAGCGTGCCCAGGCAGGCGAGGCAGAGGGCCCACAGCTCGTACTCCCGGAGGGGCCGGCCCAGCTGGGACAGGAGGTCCTGCAGGGACACCCGCTGCGGGGAGACGAGCATCGTCAGCCGGGAGCCGCTGCGGGAGGATGTCCAGCGGCCGCCGCGGGGCGAGAACCACCCAACCGTGCCTGGCACGAGGGGCTGGGGACGTCCCGACGTCAAAACAAGCCTGGCAAGGACGTGGGAAACCAGAACCCTCCGCACTGCTGGCGGGAATGAATGTTCCAGGTGCGCCGCGGCAGAGAACAGCGCGTCGGCGCCTCAGAAACTGAGCGCACAGTGACCGTGTGACCCAGCAATGCCACTGCTGCGCGTAGACGCACGGGAAGTGGGAGCAGAGACTCAGACTCTTCACACCCACGTCCGCGGCACCACCGGTCAGTCCCAGGGGCCAGCGGGGGAGGCAGCCCCGAGTCCATCGCGGGTGTGCACTGCTCCCCCCACACAGTGGAATGTCGTCCAGCCTCAGAGCGGACGGAGATTCCGCCACACGCTACAGCGTGGATGGTCCCTACGGGTGTCACGTGAGTGACTGAGCCAGTCGCCACAGGCAACACTGTGGCTCCGCTTGCGGGCGGGCCCTCGACCGCTGAGTCTCCACGAGTCGTCAGATTCACAGACACGGAAAGTAGACGGTGGTGCGGGGGTGGGGCAGGGAGCGGGAGTCTGATGTGGGGCGGACGACACGGTGTCCCGGAGATGGGCGAACACACGTGACGCTCCGTGCACTTAAAACAGTTAAAACGGTGGGTTTTATGTTACGTGTGTTTTAACACACACGGCAGGACTCCAAAGAGCTTCAGCCGAGGGCAGCGCTCCGCTCCGCGGCCGCGTGGACAGCCAGGACGAAGCCGCCAGCCTTGGGCCACAGGTGCACGCTCAGCAGAGACCCGCGTCCAAGCCCTGGCGCATCGCGGGGCTGAAACGTGCAGCAGCGGGCGCCTGCCCTCCCTGGCAGCGTGTGTCACGTGTGGGGCCCCAGCACGGAGCTCAGAACCGGGTGGTGGCCCCGGCTCCGGACCAGCCCTGACGCCCACGACGGTGCCTGCGCCGGGAGCCGAGGTCCCAGGACCCGGCAACGCTGTCTCGGGTCAGGGAGGCCGAGACCTCAGCTCCACCCCTCAGCAGTGCCACCTCCTGACAGGGGGCTTAGCCACCCCGTGCCTCAGTTTACCCACCTTGAAGGTGGGCTCTTGTGAGGCGCCTGGGCACGGGAAGGTGGTGGGCGGCGCAGGACAGGGTGGCGGGGCACACGTGTGTGCACATCGAGCCCGGCGAAGAGGACCCCACAAGCTTATCGGGAGGTGCATGCAAGTGAGTCCCGGGGCCTGTGGGTCAGCAGGTGGGAAGGAGGCCCTGGCGGCACAGCAGGTCCTCGGGTCACCGGCTCCAGGGCTCCTTGCCCTGAGGGGCTCACGGGGACGCAGAGCCAGAAGGCCGAGGGGCCAGGCCACTCAGACCGCCCGTGGCGACGTGAAACCACCCAGACCTCCCAGAGGTTTGGCTCCATACGGAGACTCCGCCCGTCACCAGGGGCAGTGGACACAGGGTTCCCTCCTACCCGGGGCCGTCCTGGCACCTGCACAAAATCCCAGCATCACCGAGGACGCTCTGGGGGCGCTCAGGCGCGGACACCCCTTGCTGCCCTCGTGCCGCCGACCCGCCCTGGCCCCGCGACACCTGCTCGCCCACCTGCTCCACGGCTGCGCCTGCCGGCTGCCCGGCTCCTTCCGGAATCTCCTCGTCCCCTCCGGGTGTCCGGCCTTCAGGTTCTGCCTCTCGAGGGTCTATGGGACAGGGCAGGGGTCTGTCTTCTGCCAGCTCCTGGCCGGGGCGTGAAGCCTGGGGAGCCCCCGGGCCCCCGGCCCCGCTGAGGCCCGCGCGGGGAGCCCCTCCCGGCTGGGGCTTGGGCTCCGGCTCGGGCCACAGTCTGCGTTTGGGCTGTGCCTTGGAGCGGGAAGGGCCGTTTTCCCCATCCAGAAAAACCTTCTTGGGGTCCAGAGGGAAGAGTTCAGATGCGAACAGCTGGTTTTTCGAGCCAGTCAGCGTCAGGGGGAGGGCGGTGGCCTCGGGCCCGTCGGGCAGGAGCCTGGGGAAGGTCTGCACTTTCCTCAGACGGCCCCTCTTGAGCAGGTCTCTATCCAGCTCGCCCAGGGGGCCCCTGGTGTCCAGGAAGAGGCTGGCCAGGCCCCCCCGGGTGTGGCCTTCCCCGTTCCTCATAGAGGGGAACAGCAGGGGCTTGGGCGGCGAGGGTCTGGGGCTGGTCTCCGGCTCTGGGCCTGCAGGGGGGCGGCGCTGCGGCAGGGGCTCTGGGTCAGCGCCACGGTCTCCGGGTGGCCTCCTGGGCCCTGCGCTTCTCGGAGCAGGTTTCTCCCTCCAGGTGGTCTCCCCGACATCTGGGCACAAGCAAGACGTGGTTACCACAGAGCCAGCAGGCCGTGCCCGGATGGCATCCCCAGCCCCGACGCCGGCAGGACCCCAGCACAGGTGCTCAGGGAACAGGGCCGACTGCCAATCCTGCCTCACCCATCACATGGTCCTGGCTAATTAAAGCGGCTCCGGGCCTCCCTCTCCCCCTGCCAGGCCAGGCTTCCCCCTGGGGGCTCCCCCAGGAGCCCTGGGCCGGCTAATTATGTCAGCCAAGGCAGTCGTTTTCCCATTAGGGTCACACAGGTGACAGTCCCCAGGGGAAGACACTGAATCTGGCCACGGCCGTCCTGGCGGACAGTCTCCCACACTCGGTGTGCGGCTCTAGACACTCGCGCCCCTTTGGGGACTCTGCAGCCTGCTCCATGCTGCGCCCCTCCCACGGGGCTCTGCTCTGCCAAGAGCGATGCTGGTGGCTGCCCGCCTGGCCCACAGCAGTGCGACCGCCGACGGGGTCAGAAACGCCGCTTGCTTGGCAGGACGAGCCCCGCCGGCCACCGCGAGGCCCTGTGCTGCAGCGACAGTGTGCGGCCGCCGTCTGTGCAGAGGCTCCAAGGCTGCGCGGGACCCACGTGAGCCCTGGGAACCCCAGACGCTGTGGCGCGGCGTTGGCAGGAGACGAACTGTGAGACGGAGCCACGCCCCCTCACGGAGCCCGTGAGACCCAGAGAGGTGACCGGCACTAGTGCCAGTCCCTTCTGAACGTGATCTTGATCTCAGCTCTCGTGGCCGGGCGTCTGCAAAACCGCCAGGTGCCACCAAGAATGAGTGTGGACGTGGATATGCAAGTGTGTGCGCAGTGTGAACGTGTGCGTATGTGTGAACACACATGATTCACTGTGGGCATGTAAATGAGTATGTGTTCACATGGCAGTGTGCAGTAGAGATGCGTGAATTTGCATACATGTGTGACTGTGCGCGTATGGGGTACACACGTGATCTATGTGAATATATGTGCATGTGATTGTGTGTCAGTGCAGGTGTTTATAAGGTGTGTAACTTAGTACGAACGTGTGCATGTGATCTGTTAATGTGTGTGCACAGTATGTGTACATGTGCACACGTCTGTGTGAATGGGTGTGTCCCTGTATATATATGTGTGTGCGTGTGTGTGAGTGGGAACACTCGCATGCATGTGTATATGTGTGCATCACATGCATGCATGTGCAGATGTGTGAGCACATTACATGTGTACACATGCACACGTGTGTTAATGTGTGTGCACACATGCAAGCACATACGTGTGTGGGTTCAGGAGCGCTCACCCTGCAGTGCTCCGAAGGACTCGATGGAGAGCACCCTCCTCCCCACGGCCGAGAGGCTGCGGCACAGGCGGCAGGAGGACGTGAGCTGCATCTTCTCCTCGCACAGCGCGATGATGCTCTGTGGACGGACGGGCGGGTGGCCAGGGAGGAGGCCTGCCCCCCCAGATGCCTGGCAGTCCCCAGGCCTGCCCTCCACCCGCCTTGCCCATTTTCTGCACCCCAGGTGATACATCCTGGGGTTACAGGAGCCAGGAGGTCCTGTTCGGCCCGTGACAGTCATAAGCCCAACTTTTCATACAAAAACGTACACGGAAGAGTCAAGTCCTTGCTTAAACAGAGCACAGTGCCTCCAAGTTCTGGTCCAGGGCCCCAACGGAGCTGCTGGGCCCGTGTGTGTGTGTGTGTGTGTGTGTGTGTGTGTGTGTGTACACGTGTGGGGTGCACGCGGCAGCGGGGGTGGGTTGGGGCTCGCCCCGGGCGGTGAGGGCGCGGCTGTGCGTTTACCTCCAGGTCTGGCCGGTCCCCGGGGTTCTCCGCCTGCATCTGACCCAGCAGCGCCTCCAGGTCCCGGCTCAGCCTGGGCTCCAGCGTGGGCTCCGCCACGTACTCCAGGGCCACCTTCAGCGTGGCCCCCAGGGAGTAGATGTGAGCCTGCGGCACGGAGGGGCTGTCAGTGCGGGGCACAGGCCTGCACCACGCCGCCCTCCCGCTGTCGGGTCTGGGCCTCTCCCACGCCACGCCCCCCGCGGGGCCGACGTAGGACCTGCTCCCCGAGGCTGCTGCGCCTCTCCTCCGCAAGCTGCGTTCCTCCAGCCGGATTTCGCAAGAGGAAAGACGGGTCGGTGTCTGCTTGAGAGAGGGGTTTTCCTACTGTGGCCTGGGAGGGGCCCGTGTGGAGTGGGGGCCTGCAGCTGACGCAGCCACCGCAGATGGCCTGCGGCTAAACAGACCCAAGGCCGCCTTGGTAAGGCATAAAGAACAGATTAGTCCCGTAACTATTAGAAACCGAGCAGTAATTAAAAATCTTTTCTCCAAGAAAACAGGCGGCTTTATCAACAAGTCTCACCAGACTTTCACGAGACAGAGGACCCCACTCTTACACAAGCGGGCAAGGAGAGAAAGAGGGGTGCTCACATGGGACCTGGCGAAAACGCCAACAGAGCGGAAAGCCGCCGGTCCACTCACAACGTCGCCCCAAATCCCCAGCGAGCACCAGTAGATTCAACAGTGTACGAGGAGATGAGATTCTTGGACAGTCTGGTTTTTCTAAGTAGGAAAGGGCGATTTAACACTAGAAAATAAGTATGTGAATATTAAAATCTCGATGAAGGAAAATTACGTGATCACGTGAAGGGACCCAAAAGCCACATTTCCTAGAAGCGATGTGTTACCCTCAGGACGTGGGGCGTCGCTCTGGGAAGGTGGGGGTGCTCCAGAGCCAGGGGGACGAGGGAGGGATCTATGCACAGCCGCTGGGGGGTGGGGGGTGACGCCTGGGGTGGTCAGAGGTTTTATTGGGTAAAGAGAAAGACTAAAAGAATCTATAAGTTATTGGAAATAGTAAAACATGTAGCAAGATGGCTGGATATAAAATTAAGGTATTAAAGTGAAGTGCAATTCTATAGATTAGCAACAAGCAGAAAAATGTAATTAAAAAGACCATCAATTTTAGAATAGAATCAGAAAATATCAAATTCCTGAGAATAAATCTAATAAAATCTAAGACCCCTATAGTAAAAAAAAATTTTTTTTTGGAGACAGCATCTGCTCTGTCACCTGGGCTGGAGTGCAGTGGCTTCATCATATTTTTTTTTTTTTTTTTGAGACAGAGTCTGGCTCTGTTGCCCTGGCTAGAGTGCCATGGCGTCAGCCTAGCTCACAGCAACCTCAAACTCCGGCTCAAGCGATCCTCCTGCCTCAGCCTCCCGGGTAGCTGGGACTACAGGGACGGGGGTCTCGCTCTTCCTCAGGCTGGTCTAGAACTCCTGAGCTCAAGCAATCCTCCCGCCTCGGCCTCCCAGAGTGCTAGGATTACAGGTGTGAGCCACCGCACCTGGCCACATCATCATATTAATAGCTGACAGCAATGTCAAACTCCTGGGCTCAAGCCATCCTCCTGCCTCAGCCTCCCGAGTAGCTGGGACTACACGCATGCGCCACCATGCCTGCCTAATTTTTCTATTTTTTGTAGAGACGGGCTCTTGCTCTTGCTCAGGCTGGTCTCAGACTCTTGGCCTCATGCAATCCTCCCGCCTCAGCCTCCCAGAGTGCTGGGATTATAGGCGTGCACAAGGCCAGAAATTTTTTTAAAATGTCAAATCAATTTCAGGTGGATCAAATGTGAAGCACAAAACTTAAAACTCTTGGTAGGAAATACCAGCGAATATCTGCTGGGCCTTGAGGTTGGGAAGGTTTCTTAAGACACAAAAACCCTGACGATGGAAGCAGCATTAATACAGTTGACTGGTTGAAATTGAGAAGCTCTTTTTCATCAGAGGATACTTGAGGCAGGTTTTCTCAAAGTGTGGTTTGAGAGGTTCAAACTATGTTCCTAGCAATACTGAGATGTTATTGCCTTTTCCAATCTGTTTTCTCCCCAGCCGACAGGGGGGGTCTCCCAGAGGCCTCGTGATGCGTGACATCACGGCAGAATGAATGCAGAAGCCTCTACGAAAGCCCCGATGTTGTCCATTAAGCCAGATGCTAAGGAGATTTACAAGTATGTAAAACAATGCCACGCTTCTCATGAATATTTGGGGGAAAAACATTATTTTTCATAAAATATGCTATGTGTGTTAACACACAATGGGATTGTTATTGTTATTTTTATATGAACTAATAGTTAAATATTTTTTGATTTCTCAATTTTAATTTATACTGTAGTAAATACTACGAGATAGAACCACATAAACCAAAGCTCTTGGAGCTGCTCAGTTTTGAGGAGTGAAAGGGGGTCCTGAGACCAGAAAGTTTGAAAACTGCTTCCTTAAAGAAAGTGGACAAATTGGCCGGGCGCGGTGGCTCACGCCTGTAATCCCTGCACTCTGGGAGGCCGAGGCGGGAGGATCGCTTGAGGTCAGGAGTTCGAGACCAGTCTGAGCAAGAGTGAGACCCTGTCTCTACTAACAATAGAAAGAAATCAGCTGCACAATTAAAAATATATAGAAAAATTTAACCAGGCATGGTGGCACATGCCTGTAGTTCCAGCTACTTGGGAGGCTGACACAGTAGGATTGCTTCAGCCCAGGAGTTTGAGGTTGCTGTGAGCTAGGCTGACGCCACGGCACTCTGGACAACACAGCAAGACTCTGTCTCCCAAAAAAAAAAAAAAAAAAGTGGACAAATTGCAGACTGGAGGCAGCAGCTGCACCCCTGACGAGGGGAAGGGAATTTCTGCACCAGGCGAGAACAGCCCCGTTGCCTAGAGAGTGGCCTGCACTGCAGAGAGACCCTCGGCCACGTCACCGACGAACACACGCAGGTGGCCGCACCGCCTGGAAATGCAGCGAGGTGCCGCCTGCTGGGGGGACCCAACCCCACCGCCTGCGTCCTGCCAGAGGAGGAGGAGCCAGCGGCGGGCGTGATGAGGGGCGTTTTAGGGTCCAGCTGCACCTTGACCTGCCTGGAGAAGCTCGTGCTGGACGCACTCTCGGTGCCACACTGGGAAACACCTGGGGACACCTCTACGGCCCCACGCCCAGCAGGTGGGCTGCACGTGGTGTTTCCCCAGCGGCACGTCCCCGCAGTCACAGCCAAGGCGTGGCGCCCACAGCTGCTCTGCAGGTGGCGTCCGACAAACAGCACGTGAAAGAATCCGGCAGGACCACACGCACCCGACAGCCTGCGAGACACGTCACACACAGCAGCTGCAGCGGTGGGCACAGCCAGGGGTGCAGACGCGGGCAGACGCGGGCGGGGGCGGGACAAGGTCTCGGCTGCCCTGTGGGTGCCAGTCCCTCCCCAGAAATGCAGTTAGAGAGTGAAGTCCGTGCGTGGACCAGGGATGGGAACAGCCACAAGCCAGGGATTGTGAGGACTCGGGCTCTGGACCTGTGAGGTCCAGTAGAACAGGACACCTGGCAGAAGAGTGGCGCCCGCCAGGCCTGCAGTCTGAGGGCCGCGGTGCTGGGCCGTCAGCGGGGACGCCCGCCCCAGCCTCTCAGGGCTGAGACTCGGATGCTGAGAGTGAAAACAAGCACACAGGTCAGTCCCAAAATCTTATTTTGAGGTCAGAATTTGAGCTAATGATGCTTTTAGTGGGAAGATTTTGCGTTTGTAATTACTGACTTATTTGTTAGTGACTGACACGTTTTCTTGACCCATCCCAGGGGCTGTAGGAGCCGCCATTCTGTGCGCTGAGCCACAGCCCAGCAGACAGACAGCTCCTGACGGATGGACAGACGGAGCCAGAGGACAGAGCACGAGCCCAGGGCCAGGCGCCGCGCTGAAGCCGACGTGGGGAGGGGCCTCGTGCTCTGAGGGGCTGCCTGGAGCAGCGGCCTCGGAGGCCTCAAAGGCCCCTTGGGGTGTGGCCTCGGGAGCGTCACCACTTCGAGGTCTCGGGTCTCCTCGAGTGCTGCAAATCACCACCTGCCAGGTCCCTGGGGCAACCGCGGCGCCTGCCCGTCATCACCGGGAGTTTTAGGCACTTCTACTACGTGACATGTGGCACATTTGCATTCCAGAACACAGCGCGAAGGTGCAGTAATGACAGACGTGTTCAAAGCCGCTGCTCCCGCACACAGAGCTGTGACTGTGGCTGCCCCGTGGGGGGCCTAGCAGTGGGCAAGGTGGACACCCCCAACGGCAGCCCTGAGGGGCCGCCCCGCACACCAGGCTGCGGCAGCCCTGCCCCCGGCCCCTCAGGGACCCACAGAGGCTGCCCCCAGTTGACAGCAAAGGGGACCCCAACGGGGTCCTTGAAGGGGAAGGTGAGGAGGGAGGGGCTCGGCGCACACCCACCTGCCGCACTCACCTCAAAGGTGTTTCCGGTCACATCGAACTCGGGGGGGACAAAGGCACCCTCGGGGTCATCTTGGGAAGGAAAGAGAAGGGTCACTCACCCAGGAAGCCACGCGGAGTGACCCGCCAACCGGGAGCCGAGTCCTCTCCCTCCCGTGCCCCCAGGACGGTGTCGAGCATTTGCGACCATGGCGGTAAAAAGGGAATCAGTGCGTTAACCGTAGCCGGGGGCCTGGCTGCAGGTGGGAGGACAGAGGGCTCTGCCCGGTCCCCAGGAGGAGGAACCCAGGGCCCCTGGAGGGAGGGCGGGGTGCGGCCGCCCACCGCAGCGGGTGAGTCTCACCTTGGAGGCGCCATGTCCACCTGCGGCAGGGCCCGTGGGGCCGGCCCAGGGACCAGGAGGGACGCCAGGCCGGGCGCCTCTGCCCCTCCAAGGTGTGAGGCGGCAGCTCCCACCCAGGGCTGCCCAGCCCATCCTCCCCCCGCCGCTCCCGCACGCGCCCGGTGTCCTCTGGCTGCGCTGGCGCCCATGGTCACCCTGCAGCCGCCCACCCGCGGCCTCACCGCTGAGCTGCTCCATGAAGCACACGTTCCCACTGGTGTTGAAGGCCAGGGTGTCGGGCGTGATGCACAGCGTCTGGAAGATGGCCGCGTGCGCCACGCTGCGCATGGACAGGCTGCACTCCAGGCACACGGCCCAGGCCTCCTGCTCGCTGAGGCCGCTGTCCCGCAGGGAGAGGATGTCGGCCAGAGACACGTTCTCCTGCCAAGACAGGCCCCAGCTGTGAGCCTGGCGGCGCGTCCCCAGCCGGCCCCGGCGCCCCAGCGCTGGGATTCGCTGGAGAAGCAGGACTCGCGGCTGCACCTCCTTTTATGGGTCGGGGAAAGGGTTTGGAGCAAGGTTTCCTTGTAACAAAGTCACCCCCGTTCTCCGGGCGTCAGAGCCGGGGACATCTGGGGAGCAGTTAGCGTGCTTCCCGGAACAGGTGTCTGCTCACGGAGCCCGGGAACACGGCCTCCTCCCGGAAGCTCGGCTGGAGCCGGAGGACTCGTGCCCAGCTGGGCCACCTGCTTGCTGGGCCACCCCTGACCCCACAGGTCGTGGCTCAGCGGGGGTGTGGGGTCGTGAGCCAAGGAGCCGGGTGTATGGGCCTGTGAGGACGGAGTTGGCACCTACAGAATGCGCTCTGTGCAGGGCTGATGTGGCGTGATCCTGACACGCAACCACACGCACGTGACGCGATGGTCACAGAGCTGCCCAGAAGTTAGCTCCCGCAGGACGCAGGCGTGCGGTTCCTTCGCCCGGTCAGATGGCCCAGGCCTCCCCGACTCTGGCCTCACCTCCTGGCCCTGTGAGAGCTCAGCTATGATCAGGATAGTCGCACCAGCACCCACACACGTGCACACACACCTGCCCAACACGCACATCACACGCATGTGCACACATGCTTCCACCTAACACATGACAGTTACACATGTACACCCGCACTCACACACACCCCTTATACATGCAACCGCACACTGGCACATGCCAACACATACACTTTCACACGTGCACACACCTATGTACTGAGACACCATTGCCCGGGCACGTGTGTGCTCACAATGCTTCTATCCACTTTCACGCATGCCCCACACTCATGCAGTGGGAGCGAATATCCTCACACGCACATGCTACACACATGCTTGTACATGCCCACACTCTTACTCACACACACTCTCACATACATCCACACACCTGCTACATGCAAGCACACTCACACGTAAGGTCAACCACATACACTTTAAACACATGGCCCCTCCACACCTGTACTCACACTCGGCACACACAGAGTCACGCGCACTAACACACGTGCCGCACACGGCCACACTCGTGCGTCACACACCCTGGGCTCTGGGCCTGTCCTGCCCACTGTGCCTGCATGTTTGTGCCCCGCCACCCACGGGAGCGGGCGGTTTGCGGGAGGCAGGCTGGGTGGCTGGTGTGGGTGTGGCCAGGAGAGGATGGACACGGACCTGGCGGGTGGGGAAGCAGAGAGGCGGAGCCCCCGGGCGCCCGGCCCAGCCGCCAGGGCCTAAAGGGCGTCTCCCGTCCTTGAATTTCCCCGCCTGCGGCCGGCATCGCGCGGGCCCCCACCACAGGTGAGGGCAGGGGCTTAAACGCCAGCCCCCCCGCGTGGCCCGGCACGTCGCCTGCCCCACTCCTGCCCGGAGTCCAGGGAGGGGCGTGACAATGTCACTCCCAGGCCCTTCCAGCTCCTGTGGCGGGAACCTCCCCTCAGGGTTCCTGGGTCCCGACTGACAAAAGGTCTTTCTCATTTGGGCTCAACCTGCCGCCAATTCTGCAGCACCCGGAACGCTCAGGACTCAGGGAGCCCAAAGCTCTTAGCGATGCCCGCGGGGCTGGTTGTAGAGGTGCCTCGGCACTCAATGCACACGCACACACACACGTGCACCTGCACAGAAACGCACAAGGCAGCACATGTGTACACATGCATGTGCACATGCACACACACACCCATGCACCTGCATAGAAACGCACAAGGCAGCACACGTGTACACACGCATGTGCACACGCACACACACCTGTACACCTGCACACAAATGTACAAGGCAGCACATGTGTACACACGTGCATGCAAACACACACACAGGTGTGCACTACATGAAGTAATGACCAACTCCAGAGACCCCGTGAGGAGGAGCAAGGTCAACCCATGACTCGAGTCTGAGCCAGTCCCGACTCCACGGTAGCGCCTGCTTGCTACACGGCGGGTGACAGATGTGTTGTCGGGAGGGGCGCCCAGGTCTGGCGCGGCCCCCTTCATGCTCGGGCCCTGCGGGAAGACACCTGCTGATGGCGAGCCCTCCCGGCCCAGGAGGCTGGACACCGGCGGTCCCCGGCGCCTGTCTGAGGGGGCAGCGCCTGAACTTGGCAGAGTCTCCTCTGCCTGCCTGCAGGGCTGGACTCCACAGGGCCCGTGGCCGAGGCCTCCACTCTCGGACAGACCTGGCTCAGCCACGCCGTCTCCTGCCATCCCGGGGCGGGTTTGGCTCACACAGGGCTGCCCTGGCACATGAGGTGGGGCCTTGGCACAGGCTGAGGGACACCCAGGCCTGAACTCTGGGGCCTGCGGCTGGCCCTGCTGCCCCCACCCTGCCCCAGCCCAGGTAGGAGGAGTGACCCTTCCCTGCCCAAATGCACAGTGGCCAGACTAGGGCCTTGGTGCCAGGGACGGGGAAGAGAGAGGGGCCAGGAGGGGCGTGGACACCCCTCGCCAGTCCAAGGGGCCTATGGCAGTGCCCACCCCGCACGCCTGCACTGGCCTCCCAGAGTAGCCGCTTGGTGACCCCATGGCCCAGCGTCACCACCAGACGGGTCCAGCCCCACAGCGGGGTGGCCGCTCCATGCCCAAGGGCAATGCGCTCAGCAGGGTGCCCACGGCCTCCACCAGAGCTTAGTGGGCCGTGGCAGACATTTCAGAGGGAGGTGACGTGCTACGAATAGCAAAGCTGGCCTCGGCTCCGGGGCACCCTGTGGCCCACAGCAGGCTGGGGCATCAAGGCTCCCACCCCTCGGTCCCCTCCTGCTCCTGCCAACTCGGTCCGACCATGTTGCCACCGGCTGGCACATGGGGCTCTGTCTGCTGGCACAGACCTCGCTCCCCGGCAGGGTGGGGGCTCCCTGCTGCCCAGCCCAGGGAGCTCCCTGGGCCTCCCACCTGCCTCTCATCAGCCTCAGAAAAGCACCACCTGGGGGGCTGCGGGTCTGAGCGCAAGGACCACCCAAGTCCTGTTCTTGACAGGGCAGGAAAGAGTGGTCCCTGCCTTGCAACTGTGGGAGGAGGGACGTGGCGGGGGGTGGACGTGACCCCCAGGGGCTGTTCTCCAGGCAGCGGCACCCCAGCCAGAGGGCGGGGCGGCTTCCACTGGGACCCTCCCCTGGTACAGCCAAGTGCCCAATTTAGGGGCTTCTAGCGTTGAGGGGGCCTCACACTCCGAGGCAGACATCAGGCCGGGTTTCAGGGGGACCCTGGGTCATTTTGAAGATTTCAAATACTCTCTTATAACCAACTGACTTTTTCAGCCTTGGGATATTCTAATAGGAGTTGCCGATACAGAGCTCCAATCACGGCCGAGGACGTTTGCTGGCACTCCCAGGCCTGCCCACGGCCCCTTTGCGCTGGCCGCCCCCTGGCCAGGGGAGCTTTACGGAAAGCTCCTCGCTCCTGCAGCCCCTGCGTCAGCCCCAGACCCTCCTCGGCTCTCCAGGCAGGTGCCTCCTGCTCTGGGCTTGTCTCAGCACCAGTGCCACGTGGACCCCGTGGGGCACCATGGGAACGTCCCTCTCCACAGGTGCCCCGAGCTCGCTCCTCTAGGCTGCAGCTGGTTGAATCCTGAGCCAGCCCAACACCTGGCACACAGGACGCTCTGGGGAGGCACTCGCCAAACAAGGGAGGTACAAGATGCCGCTTGTCTCCCGAGGGTGCGTGAGAGCCAGGACACGCCCTGCTCTGCCCCACGCTGCAGGCCGTCCTCCTCTCCAAGCCTGCCTGGCCTGCCCCCCTGAGGGCCGCTGGCACCATTGGCTCGTGATCAGGGAGCCGGAGTGTCCCCTTCCTGGGCCGCGGCTGCCTGGCGTGTGTCTGCCTCCCCGGCAGCTGCTGTCCTGCCCAGACAGTACATTCCTCTCCACAGTGGCTGAAATCCCACATGAATCCAGGGAGGGACACCTCCCCCAGGAAGCCCGCCTTGCTTAGGGCCCAGGCAGAGCATCTCCCTGTCGGCTGTGTGCCAGTGGTCCTTGGCCTATATTGACCCGTGGCACTGCCTTCAGGACCGAGCTAGCTGTTCCACTCACAGCAGGCCCAGGGTTTCTGGGTGAGAGTGGTCTCAGGCACCGTCCCCCGTGGACCATGTGTCTCTGGGCCCCACCCCCACGGTGACATTGCTGGGGCACGGTGGTGGGGAGCTTCCCCCTCACTAGCAAAGGCCAAGCTGTTTTCCGAAGAGGCTGCTCCAGCTCATCTCCCACCGTGTGGGCAGAGCTGCTGAGGCGCCGTCCTTGCCAACACAGCGCTGTCCGCCTTTTAGCTCTGCCGGCCTGGCGGTCTGGGAAAGGTATTCATGGCAGCGCATTTTGCACGCCCTGATTATGATGAGCAAACATCCTTTCTTGCGTTCACCAGCCATCTGGATTTCCTCTGGAGTCATGACGGAGGAGGGACACTCCAGGGGCTCCTGGGGGGCTTCTACTTCTCGACCCCATTGTGGTCAGTTCTCAGAATTAGCTATCTACAGAGTGAGTGCCTAGGTCTTCTGCAGGTCGCATGTGTCCTGGGCCTGGTGCCACCTCCCTGTCCTGGCAGCTGCCCTGGGGCCACGCCACCCTGGGTCTCTCTGGGGGCTGCTGCCGCCCTGCCCACCTGCAGGCAGCCCCACCTCCCCAGGTGGGGCCCACTGGCCTTTCCTGCTGGATACTACCAAATCCCTGGCGTCCAGCGCACCTGCAGGCCTCCGTCAGGTCGCAGGTCGGAGACCCCTGCCCCATGCATGGTGCATGGCGGGAGCTGCTCCAGCCGGGAGGGCGCTGGCCGGGGGGCAGAAAGACCGTCGGATGTGTCTGGGCTCAAACTGTGGCACCACACGTTCTGCTTATGGGGCACCAGCTGCTGCCTGGTCATGCTGGGCACAGAGGGGCCCTCCAGGCTTGGGCGCCGGGTGCCAAGGTGCCGTGAGGAGAGCCGTGTTCTCGGGGTTGCTTCCCACAGCCATCAGTCAGGCGGCTCTTCTAGGGGGTGCAGTGAAACGTGTCCTCTGGGGCGTTTCTGCAGGCCATGAGCTGCGTGTGCCCCTCTTTCGCATAAAAACCAAAGACGCCCCAAGGCTCATTTGTCCCCTTGCCTCTCCTCTGGGCAGCCTCCAACTGCACCAAATCCAGGCCACGGTGGGGGTGGGGCAGCCAGCCCCAGCCCTGCCTCCGTGGCTGCTGGCTGGCAGCAGCGGTCCCCAGACACAGGAGACACGCCAGCACCTTCCCTGAAGGAGGAAGCCCCTGGCCTCTGGAGCCCACTCCCCCGGGGGCGGGGCCGGCAGAGGGCAGGAGGCCCTGGGAACTGCCGCTGTGGGCGCTTCTCTGCTCCTGGAGGTGCGGCCAGGCTGGGGGAGGGTCTTCAGCACCACACTGGCCATTTAAAGAGAAGGCCCTGCAGCTCTCCGCACTGCTCAGCAGGAAACACAGCAGCCTGGCGGTTGGGGTATTCGCCTAGTGGCGAATGGAGACAGAAGGGCCCCTCATCGGGCTGTCTCATGCCGAGGGGGCTGGCTTGTTTTCAGGACACAAAGTGTATTCGTTTGACCCCAAACCACAGCCTGCAGGGCCCTGTGGGGAAGCCAGGGCTGAGCGACAGGGACAGACTGGGCCGAGTGAGGACCTGCTTCTCCGCCAGAGCTGGGCAGACGGGCTCTGTGGGCAGGTGGCCAGACCACGGCCAGGAGCCGTGGGATGGAGACAGCAGGCACATCCCTCTGTGCCTGGGGGAGGGTGAAGGCCCAGAGGCCCCAGAGAGCAGGAAGCAGCTCTCAGCCCTGGGGGGTTTCTCCTCCAGAGGCCCCCACAGCTCCTGAACCTCAGCCCTGGGGGGCTTCATCCCCCCAGCTCCCAAACTGGCGCCTGAAAGGGGTCTGCTGCCCTGCGCTCCGCGGGCCTCCCAGGGCTGGCAGGAAGGTAAACAGTGGCCCCCACGGCTCCCCCACCACCATCCAACATTTACGGTCGGGAGCCCACCCCACAGGGGCTGCCAACTTCTGCAGAGACCGCCCACCCACCACCGCCGCGGGCAGCATTCCAGGGGTCCCGTCCCTCCTGGCCAAAGTGTCAAAGTGAGGAAGGGGTTGCTAAGGACAGCTGCAGGATCCCCCGCGGCGAGACCTCCGGCTCCCCCTCGGGCACTCCCCACCGACCCCCCCCACCGCCGCAGGGAACACAGCCCTGGGCCCGGGGCTCACCTCGTCCTCCGGCAGAGTGGGGAGCGGCTCGAAGTCGTAGAAGTCCAGGTCTCCGCCGTCCTCCTCGCAGAGCTCGGCCGCGGGGTCTGTGGCCTGCATCGTGCGGCGGGGGGCGCGGGCAGGGCGGGGGGCGCGCAGTGCACCCCGTCCCCGCCGTCCCCGGCCCCGCTGTCCCCGTCCGCGCCCGCTCGCCGCTGGGCAGCTCGGCCTCGGCTACGCGCGCCCAGCCGCCATGGCAACGCGCCGCGCGCCCCCCGCGCCTCGCCCGCCCCGCGGTGCGCCGCCTGCCGCAGTGTCGCCGGGCGGGGGACGCGCCAGGGAGCCCGGGGCGGGGCCGGGGGCGGCGCCCGGGGCCGCGGTCAGTGTGGCTGGCACAGGGGGAGGGGGACGCCCGGGGGCTCCGCGGGCGATCTCCGGGCCTCGGTCTCTGGGCACCTGGTCCCCTTTTGGGGGCCGCGACTGTGCGGGGCGGAGCCACTGCGTGTGGCCGCTGTCAGCGCGCTCAGGAGGCCGGGGTCTGCGCCCACCTGGGCACACGGAGAGTCCGGGGCGGAGTCCGCCGGAGGGCGGGGCTGCCGCAGTGGGGGAGGGGAAGGGGGCCTGTGGTGGAGCCGCTGGAGTTCGGGTCCCAGGGAGACCCATGGGGCAGCAGCCGCAACCCCCACTTTGGGCCCACTTGGGCGTCCTGTGGCTCCTGGTTAACCCCTTCGCCGCCCGTTAGGGTCCACTCGCTGGGCCTCCTCAGCGCCGGGGAAGCGCATCCCAAGCTGGGGCCTGTGCATCGGTAAAGAGCCGATGCCCCCAAGCACAGGAAAAGGCCTGAATGCCCCTTGGCAAAGGGCTCGGCAAAGGACTCACCACCGCCCACCACCCCTGCCTTAGAAAGCAGAACTGCGGTCGGCACTCCCACGAGAGTGGACACCGCCGGGCAGGCTCCATCCTCAGAGCATAGCCTGGCCAGACACACAGTAGGCGCTTGATAAATGCTCCTTGAATGAATGAGGCAAGGCTCTGGCGGGTCCTGCAAAGCCCTCAGGTGCAGCGTGGGCAGGGACGCTGAGGCCCACTGATGCCCATTCTGTCCTGGGTCAGGTCTCCGGCTCCCAGCGCGGTCTGGCACTCGGGCAGCAGGGAGCTGGGGCAGGAGCTGGGCAGAGTCCCTGCACCCAGCCAGGTGGTCTCACCCTGCACACAGCGCCTATCCGAGGGCCCACCCACGTCACCCGAATCAACCACAGGGTGCAGCCTCCTCTGCCCCTGGGGTGTTTGGAAGCTCAGAGCAGCCAGCCAGGTGGGGTGGGGTGGGGTGGAGGCAGCCAGAGTTGGAGAACAGACATCTCCCGGCTGTGTGGCTGTGGCCAGCTGCCCCTGAGTGCTCGCTGTGGGCCCCAGAGGGGCCTACAGCAGCTCCTGCCCCTCGGTCTCAGAAGGAGCGCAGATGTGGCAGGCAGGCCCTGCTCCAGGTCCTGGGGGCTCCGGCTGCACCCCAGTACTTGGACCTTGGATCCACAGAGCCGAGTGCCTGGGCTTCTGGGCCTCTGCTGCAGGGCTGGGGCGGACACCCAACCTGAGCGCTCTGAGGGGGGGCGGGGAACGTTGGCAATGTGACCACAAAGGGAGGCTCCAGGGGCCTCGCAGGCAGCAAACACGGGGCCCTGTCACCTTGGGCGCAGGTCGCCTTGCAGGCTGAGGAATGAGGACGAAGACACTGGATGGGAGGGGCTGAGACAGTCCCATGCCTGGGGGAGCAGTCACATCAGAAGTGCTCCTGGGTCTGATGACATCGTCCACTTCAGGAAGAAAGGGGCCTCCAGTTTGGGCGAACACAGAACACATGGGCTGCTGACGCGGCTGAGTCAGCCTTGGCTGTTGCTGCCTAAAAGAACTCAGCTGGCACCTCCTGGCTCCTTGGTCGGCAGAGCTCCTGCATGGGGCGGGGGCGGAGGAGCCCCCAGAGGGCCCAGTGGGGGCTGCTTTGCTGTCTCCTCTTCCACCCACCTTCTGCTTTCCTTCCAAGGTTTGGTCTTTGGTCTTCGTTGTTCAGCGGGGTGATGTGAATCTCTGCTGGAAGCCTTGTTGCTCCCATGGAGTTCTGCACCATCTCCTGCATCTGCAGCAAGCTCCGCTCCAGGGAGGGCCGTGGGGTTGGCCGTGTGTCCTGGTGCCTCGCGTTGCAGGAGGAAGCAATTCCTGAGATCAGAGCAGGTGTGCGTTAGGCACACCACACCTTCCCAGGCCTGATGACACCGCACTGATGTGTACGCGATGTCCACTCAGAAAGGACCGTGAAGAGGCCACAGGCATGGCCTCCTGGCTCTGGCCTCCCGTGTCCCTCCCTGCCACCCCGTGGCATGCAGTCCGACTCACTCTTCCCAGGCTGTCTACTCGTTCTCTGTCCCCCCTTCTGCAGGGACACTTGTGCCTACCTGGTGTCCCCGGCCTGCGCTGCCCTTCTGGCTGGGCTGCCTCCCACTGGCCTCCCTTCTCCACGAGGAGCCCAGGCCGGGGCCCTGCCTTAGGGCATGCAGTCGGCGCTCAGCTGGACCAGGCTGAGCTGGGGCAGCTGGAGCAGGGGTCTGCAAAGCCTTCCTCTCGTTTTCCCTAAAAGAATTCCGAAAAGCTGTCAAACCACTCATGAATTTTGAAGTAACATCTAAACTTTTCTTGAAAAATAAAAAATGTAAATAACTGAAAAGAATGTAATTGCTGGATGATGTAAATATTGACATTTTGAAATCAAACTATCGGTCGCTCTTATAAATATATCCGAGAAGCTAAATACCAAAGTGGCTTTGGCAGCCACCATCAGTCACGTAGAACGCACAGAAGCACGTTCCTCCCTAACGGAAACCTCCGTCCTAACGGTCCGTCCCTCGTGCATCAGAGTCATTTCATTGCGCTCAGAATTTTTTCTCAACTGTGATATTTTATGCCTGAAGTTTCTATTGACTCCTCATCACACTTTGCAACAAATACACAAGTTTTAAGCAATTGAATATTTAATACACATTTTTAAAACTTTTTTCTTTCAAGTGACCGTAAGACTCATCTTATGATATCAAAGTAAATGACAAAGGAAGTGACGATGTTTCTGTTAGAGGCGGGGACGAACACAACACTAGACCCCGACTGGCCTCTGCTGGGGGCACCTGCGCCTGCCACTCTGTGGCTGTCACTTTGTCTCTGCGCACACAAGGCTGTTCCCGCAGGGGTGCTGGGGTGGCTGGAGAGCAGGTGCGGCCCCTCACCCCTCACCCCTCCCGGGCGGGCGAGCTGCTTCCCGCCTTTCAGCTTCCGAGTAACCAGCTCCCCGAGCACCGTCCTCTGTCAAAGGGACAGGTGGCTTCTGTTTGCTCTGGGACCCCGGCTGCTGGGTTCCCTTCACACAGGAAGGCCTCGTTGAGCTGTCAGAAGTGGGCAGGCAACATGCCACCTCCTCCTCACTGCGATCGCGCGAATGTGCAACCGAGTCACAGGCCGAGACTTGGGGTGTGAGGGAGCTGGGGCTCAGGCTCAGGTCTCGGGGGTGCCCCCGGGGTTCCATCCCACACGCGCGCTTTACCTCGCCTGGGGGGCCGGCCCTGGTGGTGCCTCGGGATGGGAGCATGAGGTCACAGAGGACAGGCGTCTCCAGTGGGGACAAGCCAGTGCCCAGACGGGGAGTGTGAGAAAGACCACTCCCCACGCGGCACCTCCGAGAGAAAAGGCCCAGGGGAGCCTGGGGCTGGGCCCTGTTCCAGGCGAGCAGGGCAGGAAGGGGCTAGTCAGGAAGCTGTATCTCTGACGACCCCCCAACAATGTGCACACGCACACGCACACGCACATGCACACGCATGCTCCTCGAGTCTGACACAATCCCACATGTGAGCACCCAGGCTGAATGAAACCCTGCCCATGGGTCAGTTTCTCTCCCTTGGTTGCCTCTGCTGCCTCCTGGGGGCATTCAAGGGAGTTCGTGGCCGTGGTCTCTGAACCTGGGGGCATCCAGGGGAGTCCGTGGCCCCTGGTCTCTGAACCTGGGGGTATCCAGGGGAGTCCGTGGCCCCTGGTCTCTGAACATGGGGGCATCCAGGGGAGCTCGTGGCCCCTGGTCTCAGAACCTGGGGGCATCCAGGGGAGTTCGTGGCCCCTGGTCTCAGAACCTGGGGGCATCCAGGGGAGTTCGTGGCCGTGGTCTCAGAACCTGGGGGCATCCAGGGGAGTTCGTGGCCGTGGTCTCAGAATCTGGGGGCATCCAGGGGAGTTCATGGCTGTGGTCTCTGAACTTGGGGGCATGCAGGTGAATTCGTGGCCCCTGGTCTCTGAACCTAGGAGTTCGCTGGCACACGCTCACACAGCTGTTCAGCACCAGGCATGACAATGAGCCTGCCTCCCAGAGGGACACACACAGCCTCAGGCGTGGGGCAGCTGACCCAGAGAACCGCATCTTCCTCAGGGCAGACCACAGGGATACCAAAGAGGGGATTTGTGAACACTTCAAGTTGTATATCACAACATGCGTCCCTACAGAGAAGGGCAGACATCGGGGACGCCCTGTCATGACTCATGGCAGAATCGCCACCCAGAGCGCCCCACTATGGCGCCCGGGGCTGCCTTCCTCCCACCCCGGGCAGTCACTATCCTGCTTGTACGGAAACAATTCTTTGCTTTTCTTCATGGTTTTACCCCCTGAGCAGGTGTCATTAAACACAGATTTTGCCCATTCTGGTTTTGGCAATGTGTGCACAATGGGATCATACAGTATACATGTGTGTGCAGCTTTTCTCACGCAATATGTTTCTGAGATTCAACCGCGTTGTTATGGGCGGTAACAATTTGTTCCTTGTTGCTACTGCGTGGTATTAAGTTACATAAACACACCTCGGTTGGCATTTTCTTCCCTCCGTTGGTGGACATCCAGGTGGCTTCCAGCTTCTGCACTATGAGATGTGTTTCGTTCAGACTTCTCGATCACGCGTGCATGTGTTCTTGCTGGGAGCACATGTGTGAGTGGAGTTGCCGGGTCAAGCGTCACGCGTGTGTCAGATTTTGTGTTTCCCCCACGTGGATCTCCAGTGGACGGGCACCACTTACTGGCGAATGGGAAACACAGCCCCTCCCCCTCAGCGTTGCCATTTGGTTTCGTGCATACGCCTGAGTCTGTTTCCAGACTCTCTTTTTCCTGCTTTTTTGTCAGCCGTGGGATGGCGCCGCCTGTCTCAACAACTGGAAAGTCTCCACGCACAGGGATCACCCCGCCCCACCCTCCTCTTTCTTCAAGAATGTCACGGCTTCACTCAGCCCTTTGTGTTTCCGTGAACGTTTTAGAATCAGCTTGCTGTGTGCGTGCGCCCTAAACACTTGGTTGCCATTTGATTGGGGTTGCTCTGACTCTACCCATCCGCAGGTCTTTATGATGAGAATCGTCTAATCCACGAACAGACGTGTCTTCCCATGTATTCAGACCCATCGGTCTTTCTGTGTTCTCTCAATAACGTTTTGTAGTGCTCTGTGAAGAGACCTCATGCGTCTTTTATTGTATTTGGCAGGAATATTTGATATTTTGTGGCGTTACTGTAAATCATGTCTTTGTAAAAAACATACTTTCTGTTCAGCACTGGCTATAGAAATAGAACAGGGATTTGTGTAGTGACCTTGTATCCAGCAACTTTCCTCAGCTCATTCATCGACTCTAATCTGCAGAGAGAGTGCTGCGGATTTTCCACGCAAGCAATCGCGTCATTGGAGAATAGTGACAGGTTGGCCTCTTCGTCACTAATCCCATCATCTTTCTTTCTTCCTTCTTTCTCTCTTCACTGCTCCCGCCGGGACGCCCTGAACGACACTGACTAGACATGGTGATGAGGTTCTCTGTGCTGAGCTCCAGTGGGGGAGGGCAAGCTTGCTGCCGCGCCAGAGTGTAATTTTGCTGTGCACTTTTGTAGCTCCCTTTAGTAGATTAATTAAGTTCCCTTCTATTGATAATTTGCCAAATGTTCTACTAAAAACACAAATAGATGTTGAACTTTATCAAATGTATTTTCTGCATCTATTAAGCCGCTTATATGAATTTCTCTGTTTTTCTGTTAATATGTTACAGTCACGAATGTTTAATGTTAAACTAATTTTGCATTCCTGGAAAAAGCCCAGCTGATCGTGATGCATTATCTTTCCCCAACATCCCTGGATTGGGCTCACAAGTATTTTGTGCACGGATTTTGCATTTATTTTCACTGGCCGGTAATCTGCATTTCTCCCGGAGTCCTGTCGGCTTTAAGCGTCAAGGCTGTGCTGCTTCCTGGAACTGTGGCGGTGTGTTTCTCCTCCTTCTCTTCTTTGGAAGAGAACTCTGGAAGCGTTCTTGCAGAAAGCTCCTGAGGGTCTTCTCGGGTGAAGCCGTCTCTGGATCTGAAGGCTTTTTTGTTTTTTGATGGGAAGGTTTTTTTTTTTTTTTTGAGACAGAGTCTCACTCTTTTGCCCGGGCTAGAGTGAGTGCCGTGGCGTCAGCCTAGCTCACAGCAACCTCAAACTCCTGGGCTCAAGTGATCCTCCTGCTTCAGCCTCCCGGTAGCTGGGACTACAGGCATGCGCCACCATGCCTGGCTAATTTTTTCTATATATTTTTAGTTGTCCAATTAATTTCTTTCTATTTTTAGTAGAGACGGGGTCTCGCTCTTGCTCAGGCTGGTTTCGAACTCCTGAGCTCAAACAATCCGCCCGCCTCGGCCTCCCAGAGTGCTAGGATTACAGGCGTGAGCCACCGCGCCCGGCCTTCAACCTTACCTTTTATGTCCCTGCGCCTGGTAACCGGGCTGAGCCTGGTTATTTCAACAGGTGTGTTGGGAAACTCTTAGCTGTAGCCCCTTGAGAAAGAAAATAAATTTTATCTGAGGGAGGGGAGTCCTTTCCAATTATTCAAATGAGACGGAAGTCACGCCCTGCTCCCCCCTCGAGCTGTTGCCGTGGTAACTATAAATCAACCCAACAGTGCAGCACCAGCCGCACCCTACAGCTCAATAACGTACAGCCAATCCCCGATCAATGTTGTCTCTGCAAACCGATGAGAACTCCTGACAGACAGCTCCTATCAGCCACTCCCTGTCCCCGTTTTTGCCTTTAGGGACTTGCTGTCTCAGAGGCGCATACGTACTGGGGTTGCGCGGTCTGTCCTCACTTTGCGTAAGTCAACTCCATATTTGTGCCTCGGCCCCTTCCTTCCGGGCCAACACCGTGTGTGTCTTTTCCTCTTGTCTGTCGTTTCTGCTGGTTTTATTTACGTGGTCTTTTCTCTCTGGGTGCCTTGTCAGGCCGCCGCCTCCAGAACCGCTGCCCCGTGGGGACGCTGCCCGGCACGTGTCCCAGGTCCTTGGAGGACCGTCTGCGGGTCAGCATGGCCTTGCTCAGGCCACCAGCCTCACAGCCTACTGGAGGCCTGGGCAGCTGGCCACTGGGCGGTGGGAACTGCCCTCGCAGACCCCAGACCATCTACGGAAGGCCCCCCAACCCTAGGGCCGGAGCTCCCCGCAGCCGCCGGCGACCACGGCCCCGACAGCCCTTCTCCACAAACCACCTGGGCTCTCTAAGTGCCCACCGCCCCCATGGGGTGATGCGCTCAGAGCCAGAGCAGGTGGCCTGGGCCACGCCCTGTCTGGGGCCTTCACGGAGAGGCAGCAGACGCCACCGTGTGGTCCCCCGAGGACCGGGCCTCTTCCCCCACCGGGACCACTCCAGAGGGGACCCACAGGTCCGAGGCACAGGCGGCTTCTGCCTCCACATCCTTTAGATTGACTGACTTCCTCACGGGGTTGCTGTTGTGGGGGACGTCACCCTGGTGAGCGAGACACGAGCAGAGGCCAGGCAGAGGGGCTGCCTCGTGCTGTCCCTAAGAATAGCACACATGTGTGTGCACACACGTACACTCATGCATGTATATGCCCACACGATCCACATACAACCTACACACAGTGCACACATGGAAGTGCATCCACACACGCATGCACACTCACTTCACATCCACCCATACACATGCACACTCACTTCACATCCACCCACACGCATGCACACTAGCACACACACAAGGAAGCGGCACGACCGCCTGGGCTGCAGACAATAGGATTTGGGCCTAATCCCATTCCACAGCCCCGTGGAAGCTGATTCCATGTCAAGGACCCCTCGATGCTGCTGCGCTGGGAACTCGCACGCTCCGGAACGCTACGCGCAGATGCATCTGTCACGTGGTCCCAAGTGGACTTACGAGGCCATGTCAATGCAGAGACACAGTGGGTCTGACGTGGCTCTCTCCAGCTGAAGGGTGCGGTCCTCTCTGTTCGGACAGGGGCACTGAGGGCTGAAAGGACGTGAGGGGCTGGAGGGGCCGGGGAGCGGCAGCCTCGCCAGCCCCCAGCCCACCCCAGCAAGGTGCCCATTCCCACGTCGATGGCGAGAAACACACAGGGTCTAGGAACCAGACTCACAAAGGACAACAATGCAAAATATTGTATTTTTGTCTGGACAGTTCTGCATCTACTGCGTGTACACAGCATAGCGTCGGGTTTCTGGTTCATCAGCTGTGGGAGCAGGTGAACAGGTGGGATGGTGACGGACACAGAACCGCTTGGCGGTCCCTCGGCTGCCTGTCTGGGTGACCTGTGAGGACACAGGGGTCTGCAGTGGGCGGAGCGTGCTGCACCGAGTGACAACACCACAGTCTACAAACATCCCGGGAGCGAGGCTCCTTGCACGCTCAGCATCCGTGCTCTGCAGGGCGCTGCCCCCGGGAGGCGCTGGGAACACACCCCTCACTCCTCTGAGGTGTGTGGGGGGGTCTCCTGCTGGCGTGGGCTTCCCCATCCCGAGGGCAGAGCACACTGACAAGTCTGTGGACGTCGTTGTCTGCACGAAAATCCAGTGCTCAGAGAGGCTAGAAAACACGCTACCTGTGTGTGTGCACACGTGTGCGTGGTGTGCATGGGTGCACGTGTGGTGTACACGTGTCTTTGTGTGCATGTGTGTACACATGTGTATGCACACTTGCCACAGACGGGGAGGGGGAGGAGGAGGGAGGAAGGAGGAGCTGAGCACAGCCTCACACGCTCGCTGCTCTGGACACACGCAATCCCGCCTCTCACAGAGGGACGGACCACCTGCTCCCACAGAAGTCTGGCCATCGACATCTGTCCTTCAAGTCAGGGTTCTGTGCCCAGATGTTCATGGAGCTGCAACAAAGGGAAAGGGACTCTGTCCGTGACAACCACCCCACCTGCCAGCCCCTCTTCCTTCTGGAGAAGTGGTTTGCTCCCGAGTGCCCATGCTGGAGAGGCACCCAGTCCTGACGGAGGCTGGATTTGGAGGCTGAGTCTCCAGGAAAGACCGTTTGGGCATTTTCCAAGGGCAGGGCCCCGAGGCCTCTCCCCAGGGGTGCCAGAGCCGCACCCTCCAGCACCTGCGTGTTCTCTGGCCTGCTGGGGGCCAGGGCTGCATCCGGGACCGAGGCCGATGGTGGACATTGAGCTGATAGAGTGGCTGCCAGTTCCCCAAGGAAGATGACGGGCGACTCCGACACAGGACAGGGGAGAGGCCTGCGGCCACTGCCCGGGGCCCCAGGAACAGAACGCAAGACACACACGAAACATGAGGGACCACCAGGCGGAGCCCCCTGCCGAGGTCGGGTCACAGCCTGACAGTGGCGGGAGGCCAGGGCTCCGCAGGCCTTGGCCACGGTGCGGAGCCACCTGGGTCTGGGCGGTTCCTGTGACAGAATCCCGGGACTGGAGGCTACGGAACAGAAAGCGGGTGACTGTGCAGGGGGACAGGCAAGTCCGACCTTGGCATTAGCAGGGGCGGGGTGGCCCAGAGCGTTTTCCCCGCTGGGGTCTTTCACGAGGAAGGGGTCGCTGGCAGCTGCGAACCACTCCTGAAAGGTTCGGTCACTTCGGTGAACTCCACGGGCCCCACGTGGCAGACGCCCCAGGCTGCTCCGAAGCTCCTCCAGGGACACCCCCCCAACCTACACGGTAGTTTCATTTTTCCAGGGCCCGGTGCGGATGTTGCCTGTTGGGTCAGTGCTGAATGGCAGGCCTTCTCGACCGGCGCCCTCGAGCAGGCTGTCCCGGCTGGGGCTCCCAAAGGGCAGGGACTGTGTCCTCCGGAGCATCTCCAGGTGGCCGGGGCCAAGGGCCGCCTCCCTGCCAAGCCTTGGGGGGCAGCCGTAGAGGGCGGCACCGTCACCCTCCGGCTGGCTGACCATGGAGAAGGGGTCACCCTGGGCACAGCAGGCCAGTGTGTGCGCCCCTGCCGGGCCCTCCAGCGAGCTGGCCGGGCTGTCTGTGCGCGAGCTGTGGGGGCTGCCGTCCAGGCTGGACGGAATGTGGTAGGCGTACTCCGGCTCGGCCGCCGCCCGGTGCCGGCTGAAGTAGTGCAGCTTAGTTCTGCCCTTAAGGCACCTGTGCAGGTGTGGGTCGTGCCCAAAGGCATCCTCCCCGTGCACGTGGGCGTGGGCCTCGTCCTCCATCAGCTGCTCGCAGTGCATCTTGGCGCAGCACGGGGTGGCCGGTGACAGGCAGCTGACGTGGCCCTGGGCGGCCTGCAGGTTGGTCATCTTGCAGTGGCCGGGCGCGTGGCTGAAGCCCCGCGGCTGGCCGAGGCACGGCGCGTCCCCGTTGGCGTGGAGCGCGGCGCGGGCCCCCAGCTCCCCCGCGGGGGCGGCGGCGCGGGCGGGGCAGCAGGCCCACCAGCACCGCCACACGTCCTCCCGCTTGGCGCAGTGGTGGATGAGCACGAAGAGCCCCAGCGTCACGCAGAAGGCGCCGTACAGGCAGCTGAAGACCATGTCCAGGAAGTGGCCTTGCGACACGGCCAGCGCCCCGAAGGCCCAGGTGGCCGCGAACAGGAACAGCGTGAAGGCGGCGGCGCGCAGCTGGGCGGGCAGCGAGTGCTCGTTCTGCAGCAGCGAGGCTGCGGGCGCGTCGCGCGTGGGGGGCGGCGAGCCGGGCCGGGTCACCCGCAGGCTGCGCTGGGGCCCCGCCAGCCGCTGCATCTCCTCGGGCCGTGCGCGCAGCTCGTACCTGCGCTCAGGGTGGCGCCGCAGCTGCACGTACGTGCCGAGCAGGTACACGCAGGTGACCAGCGCGATGAAGGCGGCCGGCCCATAGAAGGCGCCCAGGCTGGGCTCCCAGGCCATCCAGCAGCTGCGGGGAGATGCGGGTCAGGGGCGCCCGGCTCGTGGACTGGGCCCGGCTCTGCCTCCGCGACCGACTGGGGCGCCCCCAACGGAGCTCAAAGGCCGGGGCCCAGGGCGCGCGTGGGCGGCCGTCCAGGACTGAACCGGCCCACGAGGGGCTTTGCGGAGCCCTCCACCTGTCCCGAGACC